ATTTTCAATGATAATTTAAAAAATTTATCATAAAAAATGTCATTAATTATAAGTTTTAACTGTAGTTTACAAAAATCGCCATAAAAAATCAATAATTTTCAACTTTCAAAGACAATTTAAAAAATGCGTCATATAAAAATGTCACTCATTGTAAACAATTTATTAAAATTGTGACAAAAAAGTTTTAATTTTTAACAACATGCAAAAAATGTTACAAAAAATTATTTTTAGAGACGATTTTACCAGAATTTATTTTCAATAGGACTTTATGAGAATTAAATCAAACTATTAGAACATATTAATAGTTTACCCCTTTTTTTTCTTTTTTTTTTCCAAGAATGATATTTTTTACTCATTATATGGACTTTCTACCTGCTGTGTGGGCAAGACAGTAGAAACCTTGGGCTTTACTGGAATAGATTCCCAAAATGCGTCATTTGGGCCAATTTAACTAGACAAACTATATGGGCTGGACCCATGACCAATCTTAGCCATCATGAAACCCATAACCAATTTTAGCCACCAACACTTCACAAAATTGTAATGCAACAACAACAACAAAAAAAAAAGAAATACAAAATACAAAATCACAAAAATGTGTATAAAAAAACCAATGTGGCTCAAATTTATTTTAGATGTGGGAATCACACTAATGAATGTCATATTAATATTTCTATGCACTTTTATGTGTACCCAGCATTAAATTACAAACAATTTATTATTATTATTATTATTTGAAATACAGTTTATATATTTAGTATATTTAGCATATTCAGAAGGATGTGGATAAAATCGCTATAGAGACTAATAAATCCTTAACCATTTCGTCATTTCGTAATAATGTGGAAAGATATGGAATGTTGAAACAATGTTGATCTCATAAACTTCAATAGCTTGCAATGTATAGTTGGTATATAATTTACATGGGTTGGTCTATGTGGGTGTTGATTTTTGACCATACAATTAAATAGGGAACTCAGTTGGAGAGCACTGGTAGAATAGATTAAACCCAACGACTTACACAAGACGATGAGAATCCGGCGTTAGTTCGTCCACCCGAAGGCACTCCGATAATCAAGTCGGTAATCAATATCTCTCAAAAATAGCAAATTGTGCTTAAACTCACAAGAAAGAACTTACCCTAGACCCACGAGGGTGCCCTGCTTTTATAACCAGCAATGACCTGATCCCTTTAAAAGCCTCACTTCAATAGACTTAGGCTCGATGCTCATCTTAGACCCTTAACTAGATAGGGATAAACTCTCCTTGAGCCTTATCCTTATCTAGAGTGAGATCCTTCCCTGTTCTAGGACTCTTATCCCTTATCTGCTTATCTCGGATTCTAGTATCACTGTAGACAACCTCGGCGTAGCCAAGATCATTTCGGCGCATGACCAAGCCACGTGGCATCTCGGCTAATACTTCGACGTCACCTTAGCCCTGTGCTGTCATTCAAAAAATACATCCCCGCAACTGCCCCATAAGGTCTATTACCTCGGCAACCTGAAGTAATAGAACCTAAATCGTTTGTCCATATAGCATGTCGGCTAACAATCCATTCATCTCTTCGATAGAGATTATGACTCGTCGGCTTCAAGTAACCAAGACTTTGCTACCCATTCTACAAAGGATCAAGAACCAAGAATCTAGTTCTTCAAGTCTCTCACCCGAGATTGTTCCTCTAGCAAAGGTTATGGTCCCACTAATTCAAGAATTTCAAGAGTTCTAACTGTGCATGAGCTGTCACGCACAGTCTCTTTGACCATTTCCTCTACATGTCCCTTCCTCATTGGTTCGTACCTGGCACGCGCCATGAAGTCACGTCGATTCAGTGCACGCCGCCTGACAGTCGCCCAAGGCACTATCAATACATTTTTGCTGTTTTTTCGTGTTGTTGACAAAACTCCTTCTCTTTCTCCATCTTCTCACTTTTCATTCTTGCATTTCCCTTTCTTGTGCTCAAATTTTCGCTCTCTAGATTCCATCATTTTCATACCTTCGTAGCTCTGCACTTGCTCCAATTACCTCCTCCAGCGATCTTTTCATCATTTGTTTCCGACCATTCACGTCGTTTGATTCCGGCGATCTTCATCCCGACGTTTGTTTCTTCGATAACTCACTAATTTTTTCTTTCTTTCTAGTTAGTCTTGTACTGTTTTGCATATGTTTCTTCTCTGAACTCGCCGTATGCTCTTTTTACTACATTCTTTGTCATTGAATCTTGTATTCACAGCTGAATCAATTTCTTGAATCTACTTTGAATTTTGAAGTTTATCACTATGTCTCTCGATTGTCAATTGCGTTTGTTTGTGATTCGTGCACATTGTCTTCACACACTCACTCAGTGTCTGGTGGATTTGTAATTCCTTGGATCTCAATCATATTACTAATCACATCCTTGGCATATTGTATTGGTTATATTGAAATGTCTGGCACTGATCTTGCCATATTTGTGTTTCTTTCTCCTTCATGTGATTCTTGACTTTTGCCTCTGATTCCTTCTTGGTGCCTTTTCTGTTTTCTCTGTCTATTTTTTAGATTCTTGGCCTTTGATTCTCGTTTATGTAGATTTAGGTTTGGGATTTGCTAGATATCACATTCTTAGGAAACTTGAAACAAATTCCCCTTCGATCTTCAAAACCCTTGCCCCAGTGCCTGTTTAGGGTTTAGTCGAGGTCTTCAAACCTATACCAATCACTATTTTTTGAAATCTTGTACCAACCTCATTAAACCGACATCATGGGTATGCTTAGGTGGAGGGTAGACACCTGACCAAACTAGAGTACTTTCGACAAGAGTTCTCCATCCCAGCCGACGTTCAACTCAGGTTGGCTGGGGAGGAAGATTCTATCATGCCTGATGGAGATTCCATGCCCTTCCAGTAGTTTCCTTCATAGAGTGTGGACTCAGGTCTCCCTTAGACATCCTCTTTAGGGAAGTCCTCCACTACTACAAACTCAACCCCATGCAGCTAGCCATTAATTCCTATAGGGTTATCAACGGTATAATCGCCCTAGCATGCCGAGAAAAGGCTAGGGTTACACTCGCCGACATCCAATTCTGTTACACAATGTGTGGCCTTAAGTCTAAAAAAGGCTACATATATTACCTCAAGCCTAGATCCACCACTTACAAATTCATAGCCGACCTTATAGACTCCAACAAGGGTACTAGAGATGATTACTTGATCATCTCAGGCAACTGGGAGTTTGCGCCTAATGATGATCTTCATCTCTTTCCTCTGCGCCGAGCAGCATTTAAAGAGGGTGATGGTAAGAGCTGAGTTATCTCATAATTTACCTTTACTAAGACTTGCTAGTTCATCTATCTATACAATTGTCTTCTTTTTGTTTCTCTTTTGCAGCTCTTCCCCAGCCATCAAAGGATTTATGCCAAACTTTCATCCCCAGCCCTGATCTGAAAAGGCTTCTAGGTTTGGATATTGATAAGCGCAAAGCCCCTTTGCTACTTGATTATATCCCGACCTACAAGTCCGCTTTGTCTAAAGTTTCCTGTCGAAGTAAGACTCCCCCATCAGCAACCACCCCACCACTTGCTTCATCGCTAGGGCCAGACCAGGCCTTTTCTTCAGATCCAGTTGAGCTGCCATCCACTTTTGCCCCCCCAATTTATCCTAACATCCCAGCACCGACAGCGACGTCGTGCCCCAGCAAACACACCAGACAGTAGAACTCGGAGTCGCAGACGCCGAGAATCTGAGGCATCGACTTACGTCTTTGCCAATCCTTTCATTGCTTTGCCTGCCATTCACTTTAGCACCAGAGTTACTGTTGTTGCCACTTCCGACGATATGGGCCGCAACAAAGCCGTTGTTGAAGACCTCCTGGCTGACTTGCCAGGAGTTGTTTCAATTCAATCCTTCTCTCCATCTCAATCCCAACCCAAACCAAAACCAAAAATGGTGTAGAAGGCTAAGGCAAAAGCCTCTGTTACCCAAATTGACACTGAAGACACTGTGTCGATCTCAAGATTGGCCGAGGTCGATAAGTGTGCCTTCACCGCTGAAAAGAGGCCTCCCGAGGCCGAGCCATTCGATACCGCACAGTCGAAGAAGCCAAGGTCTGAGGATGCATCTGGCCCGGGCTTTTTCAAAGCCGATGAGCCCTAGGCTCCACTAATTTCGGCCAGCGACTGTTCGATGACAGTTGGCGGCAGTGCCATCGATAGTATTGAGGTCGACGTCGCTCTCTTCACTGCTGTTCTTCTGCCTGCCGATCTGAATCGCATGGCCAAGACTACTGAGTATGAAAACTTTGCCTTGATGATGCAGTTTATTCTTGTAAATCCTCAACACTTGTACTCTTTGGTTATTTACTTTAAGTTCTCATACTTAGAAATTTTACTAACTTGCTCGTATCTCCATTTTTAGGCCATCTAACATGCTCACTCCTTCACAACGAAAGCCGAGGAGATGAAGGAGTTGATAGAGAAAACCCATGATGCTGCTGGCTTTCTTGCCTCCCTGAACAATGCCAAGGCCAAGATAAAGGTTCTGCTAGACCAAGCCAAAGCAGCCAAGCGTGCACAAGACGAAGCCGAGGAGAGGGATGATGTGGCTGAGGCTGTAGCTGAAGTGCTCCAGTGCGAGATTAAGGACACCGAGGCCAAAACCATGGAAGTCAAGGCTGAACTCTAAGAGGCCCTGGCTGCCAAAGAGGCCGAGATCAAGGTGGCTGACGAGAAGGCATTTTCAGAGGGTCAAGCCGCTGTCCAAGGTGCATACAAGGCCCAAGTCAACAAAGCTTGCAACCGAGGCTCTTATCTCGACTGGATAGCTACTCTGAACAAACTCTCAATCTCAATGGATTCCCCCCTTAGAGACATAAACCAGCTTCAAGTGCCTTTCCCTCCCTCTCTAAAAGACTCCGAAGACGAAGTCGATGACAAGGACACCGAGGCTGATGATGCTGATGAAGAGGACATTGTTACTGGGGCCAAGTCCCCCACTCTGAATGAGCAAGTCCTAGACTTGACTCAAGATGAGGAGAACGAGGTCTCCAAGAGTGTCTCCTCCCAAGAAGACCATTTCTGAAGCCGAGATCCAGATCGCCGAGAAGAGTCTTGACCAAACCCTTCTCGACATCGATGTTGAGATCGAGGATAAGAAAACTACTGAGAAGCTTTCCCAATTGTCTGCCGAGGCCAAAACATCTTCAACTGCCGAGGTAGAACAGTCTATTTAGAATGTTTTCTTACTCGTACTTTTCTGCTCTGAGCAATGTAATCATTTTGTTAGTTTTGAACAATGTTGGTTTTCTTTTGGCTGATGTGCCTTCTGCCATTGCGATTTGAACAAGTCTTTTGTTTGCCATGCCTTTTTTTCTTCTAAACACTGAATGGATGCTTGTCTCCTTAAGCTTTATCTGTCTTTACTGTCTTTGTATGCTTCCATACAGAATACTTTTGCAATCCTTCCAAGTTCACCTTAACTATGTAATGACTTCGAGTTAGAACACATCTAACATGTATTATCTCGGATACACTTCATCTCGGGTGTGCCCTTAGTTGGTCACCTCGGACCAACTTGCCTCGGAGTCCACTGTTTGCTATGATCTCGGCAGATTGGTACTTCATAAATTTTTTTTGTATTTTGCAACAAGTGTTACTTCTTTTACTTGTGCTTGTTGTCCTTAATCAATACTTCATTCTTTTAACCCTTCCAAGTTTTGACAAACCGTTTGGTTATCTCAGATAACAAATACCTTGGGTATTCCCTGATTTGGTTACCTCAGTTGACTCCAACTTGTAAATTATTGTCAAAAATTTCAACAAATGACAAGCCAAGTGTTATATTTATTCCTGCTTCCTGCCCCCCTAATGTGAACCTAAGTATTACTTATGTTCACATTAAGCAGGCAAACCCAAATCTGGCCGGGGTCTGATTCAAACAAAGATTAGCTGAGGTTTTTTACCTTGGTTACTTTGTTAATCTAACTAGATCAAACTTAGTTCAACTCTATCATATGGAAAATATAATTCAACTCTACCATATGATAAGTCTAAGTTATTCGTCATATTTCAATTGAAAACATCGCCAACTTAGTTCAACTCTATCGTATGGCAAGTATAATTCAACTCTACCATATGATAAGTCTAAGTTATTCGTCATGTTTCAATCAGAAACATTGTCAACTTAGTTCAACTCTATCGTATGGCAAGTATAATTCAACTCTATCATATGATAAGTCTAAGTTATTCGTCATGTTTCAATTGGAAACATCGCTACCATAGTTTAACTCTATTGTATGGCAAGTATAATTCAACTCTACCATATGATAAGTCTAAGTTATTCATCATGTTTCAATCGGAAACATCGTCACAAGACTACTCAGTCCTATCGCACATATTTCAATAATTTATTTATAAAAACTAAATCGAACTAGTATTTTATTAAAATTTTGGCTAAATAAAATCATCACAAAAATCTCAAAAAACTAATAAAAGAAAAACTTCAGATTGAAAGTGTTCCAGGGTCACGGCAACTCTTTGCCATCAGTGTCTTCAAGCTGATATGCCCCATTGCCGACAACTGAGATGATTCTAGAAGGCCCCTCCTAGTTTGGGCCAAGTTTGCTTTCCCTGGGATCCTTCTTATTGCCGACAACTTTTCTAAGGACGAGGTCCCTAACCTTGAACTTCCTTGGGTTGACCTTCTTATTATAAACCCTAGCAAGTTGTTGCTGGTATGCCCCCAGCCGAATTGATGTTTTCTCCCTTCTTTCCTCCAGCAGATCCAGATCTCGGGCTAGGAATGCCTCGTTGGTTTCATTCTCCACTCCCTGGGTTTTGATTCTAGGGATGCCAACTTCCAATGGGATAACTGCTTCTGTGCCATATGTCATGGCAAAAGGAGACTCCCTTATTGATCTTCTCAACGTAGTCCAATATGCCCATAGCACATTGGGCAATTCTTCCACTCATTTTCTCTTTGTTGATTCCAACCTCCTCTTGATCCCATCCAAGATGGTCTTGTTAGATGCTTCTTCCTGTCCATTACTCTGAGGAAAACTAGGAGTAGAGTAATAGTTTTAATTTTGTATTCTGCACAAAAGCTCTTAATCAGCGTACGGTCAAACTGAGTGCCATTGTCTGCTATAATGGCCCTTGGGATCTCGAATCTAGTTATTATGTTCTTCCAGATGAAGTTCTTCACATCGATATTTTGAATATTTGCAAGGGGTTCGGCCTCTGCCCAATTTGTAAAGTAGTCTGTGGCTACTAGCAAGAACTTTCTTTGTCCAGTTGCCTGTGGCAGTGGTCCCACTAGATCCATGCCTCATTGGGTGAACGACCAAGGATTGGACACTAGGTTCAAATCTGTTACTGGCTGATGTATCAAAGGTGCAAACCTTTGACACTTTTCATACTTCCTAACATAGCCTTCAGCATCCTTCTGCATGTAGAGTCACCAATATCCCTGAGTTATGGCCCTATGAGCAAGTGACCTGCCCCCAGCATAGTTTTCGCAAACTCCTTCATGGATCTGATATAAAAAGTCCTCTACTTGAGAGGGGTGCACACACCTCAAAAGGGGCCTAATAAAAGACCTTCTGTATAGATAGCCTTCTACTGACAAGCAGAACCTGGCCGACTTCAATTTGGTCTTGTGCACTTCTCTCTTGTCCGCGGGCAGCCTGTCATCTTTGAGAAACATCACTATGGCATCCATCCAGCTTGGATCCATCTCCACACACATTGCCTCATATTCTATTATTAGAGGTTCCATACTTGGTCCTGTGAAATAATCAACCATGATTGTCCTTAGCTCTCCTGACTTTATTACGCTAGCTAGGTTAGCCAAGGCGCCAGTATGGCTATTATCATCTCAGTTAACTTGTTATAGTCGGCAATCCTGGAATAGTGCCAGCAACCTGACAACCTCTCTGACATGGGTTATTATCCTCTCATCTCAGGCTATATACTCGCCTATCGGTTGATTCACAATAAGTTGGGAGTCACAAAAGACTACCACCTCATCGGCTTCCATTGCTGTTGCTAGCTTCAGTCCAGCAATTAGTGCCTTGTACTCTACTTTGTTGTTGGAGACCTTAAATCCTAGACAAATTGCCTGCTTTATCATTCATCCCTCTGGTGATACCAAAACCACTCATGTCCCCGTTCCTTGACGGTTTGAACTTCTATCAACAAACAAGCGGAAGGAGTCGTCGATGTAGATGTCACAGGGTTTTGGTTTCTCTTCCTTCTTTTGCGCTACTGGTGTGGAGTTCTTGGGCCTCAGTTAGGTTTCTTCTGGTTTGCTTGGACAACCTAAGCCGTGGCTCACTGGAGCCCAACGTGGGATGGCACCAGGGGTAAACTCGGCCTTAAAGTCGGCCAGAACTTGGCCCTTAATTACTGTTCTAGGCCTGAATTCCAAGTCATATTAGCCCAGCACCACTGCCCATTTGGCTATTCTGTCTATCAGATCTCCATGCTGTAATAGGGATTTTAGGAGATGCTCAGTCAGTACCACAATCTTGTGGGCTTGGAAGAAGTGATTCAATTTTTTGGAAGCCATCACCAGGGCTAATGTCAGTTTCTCCAGGGATAGGTACCTGGTTTCTGCACTTGCTAGGGTTTTACTCACATAGTATATCACCTTTTGTTCTCCCTCATTTTCTAGGATTACTACCACGCTTATTGCGCGTTCTGAAACTGCCAAGTATAGGAACAATTCTTCTCCAGGTATTGGATTTGACAGAACTGGAGCTGTTGTCAGGTACTTTTTCAAGTCGGGCAAGGCGACTTCACACTCCTCTGTCCACAAAAAATCTATGGCCTTCTTTAACAAACTAAAAAATGGTTTACACTTATCTGAACTTCGGCTAATAAACATGTTCAGGGCTGCTGCCTTGCCGGTCAAAATCTGGACCTGTTTGGCTGACGTCGGGCTCTTTAAGTTAAGAATGGACTTGATTTGATCTGGGTTTGCCTCAATGCCCCTTCTGGTGACCAAGTATCCTAGGAACTTACCAAACCTAACTTCTAATGCACATTTTGAAGCATTGAGTCAGAGCCGACATACTCTTAGGATGTCAAAAATTGCCTTTAAATGGGCTAGATGACTCCCAGGTTCCTTGGTCTTCACGACCATGTCATTAATGTAAACTTCTACTGTCTTCCCAATTAGATGTTTAAACATTTTGGTCACTACCCGCTGGTAGGTTGCTCTTGCATTCTTCAATTCGAAAGGCATCACTCTATAACAATAGAGTCCTTTTGGGGTGATGAATGTCGTCTTCTCTTCATCTGGGGCATACATTGCTATCTGGTGGTAGCCTCTGTATACATCCAGGAAACTCATCCGATTATGCCTTGAAGTGGCATCTACTAACTGATCAATCTTAGGCAGTGGGAAACTGTCTTTGGGGCAAGCCTTATTCAAGCTGGTGAAGTCCACACAGACCCTCCACTTGCCGTTCTTCTTTTTCACTACCACTGTGTTGGATAGCCAGGTCAGATAGTGTACTTCTTGGGTGGCCTGGGCTTCCAACAGCTTGTCTACTTCCTCTTCAACTGCTTCTATATGTAGTAATGTCAGTCTCCTTGTCCCCTGGATGACAGGTTTAGCCTACCTGTCTACATTGAATCTATGGCAAGTGACCTTGGGGTCAATGTCAGGCATCTTGTATGGCGTCCAGGCAAACACTTCTATATTTGCTCGCAAAAAAGCCTCCAACTTTCTTTCCTTCTCCTCAACTAAGCTTGAGTCGAGAAGGAAGAAGCGCTCTTCATCATCTTTTTTTACCAGAATCTTTTTCAAAGCTTCCTCACTCTTGTCGGCTGGTTTTTTGCCGACATCATCTAGGACCTCCATGTCCTCATTTTCAATTTCTACTGTCTCTATCTCTCGCACGTTACAGCTGAACTTCATTGCTGCCATGGAGCAATTTTTTGCTTGCGCCTTGTAGATACCCCATCTTTGATCGCCCACAAGACTTGGATGCTTTGTCTTGTGTACTCGATGATGAAGTTGTGTTGATTGTGATTCGAGTTCTCAACAAAGGAACATAGGCTCGCGCTCCAAAACCAATTCCTAAACCTTCCATATTCATACTGTTTTTATCCCAGAAATTCATTTTTGAACATTGTGCCACCCTACATTAAGTTTAAAACAGTGGAACAAGGGAACACATTGAGAGCTAGCCAGCTCTCGATAGTGAGA